GACTGATGTAACTCGGAATGGAACAATACCTGAGAACAATGCCATAAAATGGGATCATTTTGTCTGCGATTTGTGCGTAAAGCAAAAACATTTGGTTGTTTACTTGAACCATTTGAGTCTCTCGATTGAGGGGACGGGTACGACGAATTTTCTTTTCTGCCAACGTCTACGACTGGGAAATGTGCATTCACAACAGATCAGCAAGCGGAATCAAAACAATTCAAGGCAAACTCGTGTCATCCTCATGGGCACAGAACAACTGCCTTTTTTGGGAATGAATTAGTTAATTTTTTGGCCATTAGATCAAAAAGCCAAACACCTCCTTGCAAAATTTGGTCGATCAACTCACTTCTTGAGACCGCGAATGGATTCGAGAAGGCTTTCAGCATTGAGCGATTCAACACCTTCCAATTCCGTCACCAATTGCTGGACGACAGTAGAGCTGAGCTGAAGGCTCTGGGCAGGCTCTTCTCCACTTTCATCCTCTCCATTACTGTAGCAGTCACCGGTGTTCTAGGAGGCATGAAGTTGCCGGAAAGCAAAGTTATGGCAATTAAAACATTTATTTTTTTGCTCCCTCCGCCAGATTGCTCAAAGTTAACCCAAAGCGGACGTAGTTCCGGACGCGCGAATCAAATCGTGTGCACAGCAACGACGATAAAAGGCACCAAAGAGGATGCTCTCTTACGTTCGTTCCAACGACTTGTTATACCAAATGCATGTCATCGTGTAGGAAAATGAAAATAAGCATAATTTACCACTTCCGTTCTCCTCACCTCATTTTCTTCCCTCAGCACCTGTTGGGTTAGCTTGCTCGATTTACGGCTGTTGGGCTCCAAATAGTTTTTAGTGGGAGATGCGCACTTAAAGAAGGCGAAAAGTGGAAGCTCTTACCCAGAAAAGGGTTTCAACGTTTCGGGTGGTCCTGATTACAAGCCACCAGGAGGCAAAAACGCCGAAACGCCACTCAAACTTTTACAGCAACGAATGCCGTCACTTTAAATAGGAGTTGTGCAT